AAAACAACAACAACAAAAAACGTTGTTTTAACTTTTTTTTTTAATGTTACAGGAACGGCATGGCCCAGTGGTGACAGGTGGCGTATCGAAAGGTCCATGGATCAAGCTGTGATATGCTGCTGAATATGCTATGCTTTTACAGCTGTGGATGTGTTATAACTGTGACAGTCAATCCCTATTCGATTGAGAAAAGCTGAATAGGCGACAAGTGCTATTGTCTGTTTGTCCTCCCTCTGGCAAGTAGTGCTAAGTTAGGGATGGCGATCACTATACTTAAGAATTTTCTGACCTGGCGTTTTAACCGAGGTGTCTTATAAAGTACCTACCGATCAGGTTGAAAATAACAATTATATTTTAGGCTTACAGTAAGTGTCTTTGTGTTTATCTTCAGGTTTATAGCAATAGTCTAATTATATTTTAAGCTTACAGTAAGTATTTTTGTGTTTATCTTCAGGTTTATAGCAATAGTCTAATTATATTTTAGGCTTACAGTAAGTGTCTTTGTGTTTATCTTCAGATTTATAGCAATATACTTTATTTTTATTTTAGGCTTACAGTAAGTATTTTTGTGTTTATCTTCAGGTTTATAGCAATAGTTTAATTATATTTTAGGCTTACAGTAAGTGTCTTTGTGTTTATCTTCAGATTTATAGCAATATACTTTATTTTTATTTTAGGCTTACAGTAAGTATACGTGTGACACATATATATGTCATGTAGTCTGATTTATATTCTCCTCCCCCCCAAAAAAAAGTACCGAGTTTACTGCTTTTCCCTCGTCCCCAAGTGGCTCAGAAGAAAGTGTGCGGACTTATAGCTCTACAAGTCGGATCGATACCCGTGGTGGGTGGAACATTTTGTAGCTAAACAACAAACAAAGCTTTCTGGTTTTTCTGTTTGTGTGTGAGATCAGCGGTAGTTAGCTAGAGGGCTTACAACGATAAGAACCTGGCTTTGACACCTCATGGTGGGCACAGCACATATAGCTGATTGTGTAGCTTTGCGCTTAACAACAAACAAACATTGGTATGTAAAGTCATATCCCTTAACAACAGACAAACATTGGTATGTAAGGTCATATCCCTTAACAACAGACAAACATTGGTATGTAAGGTCATATCCCTTAACAACAAACAAGCATTTAAAAGTTCATGTTAACTCTTACTGAACCTACGTTATTGTCCATGTAAATGTTCATGTTAACACTTCCTGAACTTACGTTACCGTCCATGTGATAGTTCATGTTACCACTTACGTGACCGTCCATGTACAAGTTCATGTTAACTCTTTCTGAACCTACGTTATTGTCCATGTAAAAGTTCATGTTAACACTTCCTGAACTGACGTTACTGTCCATGTGATAGTTCATGTTACCACTTACGTGACCGTCCATGTACAAGTTCATGTTAACACTTACTGAACCTACGTTACCGTCTATGTAAAAGTTCATGTTAACACTTCCTGAACTGACGTTACTGTCCATGTAAAAGTTCATGTTAACACTTACTGAACTTACGTTACCATCCATGTAAAAGTTCATGTTAACTCTTACTGAACTTACGTTACCATCCATGTAAAAGTTCATGTTAACACTTACTGAAATTGCGTACAGGTCAGCATTTTTTCTACAAATTAACCAATCATTTCAGTAGTGGTACTGACTTTTGTACTGGAGGGGGGGGGTCACTGTGAAGTAGTTTGAGAGGGGACTCAGGGAATGTAGGTTAGTTACCGATGAAAGTTATGTGTCATGGCTTTATTGAAATATATTGGTATTAAACGCCACGGTAAAAGAGCAATTGGTGACGATCATTAAGCAACTAAACTTCAAAGTCAGAAGAGCAAAATGAAGCTCTCCTTTTATTTTAGGTTTAATTATTTATTTTTAATTTTAGTCCGGTTGGTGTGGACCGCCAATTGGCAACTGATAGTTAGAAGAAGGGCCGACGAACAGTATCTAGGGAAAACTATATGAAATGATTAAACTATATTTATAAACGAACAATAAAAGAAAAAAAATTGGCTCTGCAGTTTACAGTTGCTGTAGTTTACTACCATAGTGTTAGTGGAAATGGTTACCTTTTGTGGCCGTTTAGGTAGGTGAATTGGAGTCTGGTTATTTATATTTTTACTCGTCGTTGTATCTTTATAAGCGCATTTCTTTTTGTCTCGTGTTGTACCCGAGAAGGGCCACTCCTTAGGGTTTATAGATATGTGCAGAAAAATGTTCTTAGAGCCGTTGGTTTCATGGTAAGTGGTTTCGGTAATAAGGTTTTTCTTTAAGGGACAGATATCACGTCCACGGTCATGATGACTGTCACAGAGAACTACTTATACAGACCGTGGGAACTCTTAATATCCTCAACCAGTAAACACCTTATCAGATGATCCAAGTAGGCGGGAAGTAAAGGGTCTTGACCAGAGGGTAAAAACTGTGTAGGGGCATTTTGCGCCCCAAAACTTTGTAATTTCTATTTCTTGCTTTATGATTATCAAGATTTTCGGGTTAAGAAATCCAACGATTTGACGGTGGGTGGTGCCTCCCAACTAGTATATATATATATCAATTTAAAAGCATGGATGGATAAGTGAAGGTAGTTTTAGGCAGCTTTGCACGAAGTACAACAAGCAAACAAATATACGGAAAATCACAAAATTTCTAAAGACACTTTCAAAATATCGATTTTTATTTTGGTGTGTCATATCATGCGTCCAAAACTTTCACGCCTTTCGGAAAAAAATAAAAGGATATTTATGTACACTATCACATAAAAATCTGCTTCTAGAAAAACACAGTGAAGTCAACATTACTACCTTGGTGAGGTTAATATAACTACCCCCTTTTTGAAGTCAACAAAGTCTTCCTTGGCGAAGTAAGCATTTCTCACCCTGATAAAGATAACGTAAATATGTGTTTCACATAACTACTCTTGTTGAAATCAACATATGTACCTTTGATGATGTTGACAAAGCTTTGATTCGTGAAGTCAAGATATCTACTCTTCGTGAGGTTGATACAACTGTCCCCGGTGAAGTTGGCATAACTGCCCATTGAGAGGTTAACACAACTACCCTTTGGTGAGGTTAGCATAACTACCCTTAGTGAGGTCAACACAACTATCCTGGTGAGGTTAACATAATTACCCCCCTGTTGAGGTTAGCATAGCTACTCGTGGTGAGGTTAAAATAACTACCCTTGGCGAGGTTAACATAACTACACTTCAAAAAATCACACTGATCGTGTTCAAATACAATACTATATCTTAGCAGCACGAAACAAGAAATATACCGAATAAAATCAAACTACATAACTTTAAGACGAGTGTTGTATATTTGTAATATTTACACGAATTCTTGCATAAACAACAAGATATAACTGGCACTAGCTATTTCAAAATTTTATGCATGTAAACAAATTTTAGTAGAAATATCCTAATCACGGGTTTTGAAAATAAACATTAATAGCATCATCTTCTACCTACATAATCTGCATAAGAAATAATCATGAGACATAAATACAAATGATGCAATAAATTAACACTCAAATTCTTTATATTACTGGCACAGCGGTACGTCTGCGGACTCACTACGCTACAAACCGGGTTTCGATACCCGTGGTGGGAAGAGTACAAATAGCCCATTGTGTAGCTTTGTGCTTAACTTCAAACAAATAAAATTATATTATTGTGGTGCCCTCAGTGACTCGGCAGTAAATCTCCGCGCCCAGAAAAACAGGAGATTAAGGATCTCGTGTGTGTGTGTGCGTGTTTCTCGACAGTATAACAGCTGGGCCACAAAGAATGGCTCAGGGGTAAATCTGAAGGCTTATAACGCTAAACGGTGGATGGCACGGTACAGTTAACTCATTTGTATAGCTCTGAGCTTAACAACAAGAAAACTAACTAACCTTACCAAAATTACCGAATTTTAACTAATATCTTCAGATTCAATGGATACGTCACAGCCACTTAGTTTTTGACCAATAACCACTGTACATTATTGTTTGTTTGTTGTTAACAACAAAGATACTCAACAGACTATCTGTACTATGCCCACGGACATCGAAACCCAGTTGATAGCTTTATCAGCTTTTTTTAGTCGCTGTACCACTGGGGGAAGGGTGGTACTGTATGTTAAACTACAGTACAGTGAATCGTATTTTACCTATACTAAATACGCAACATTTTTCATTTGTTATAATGTATCATTTCTAATTTAGAATGTTGTACATTTTAATCCTCATCTACAGAAAAGGTGAAACTGCTATACCTGATATATTTGCCGAAATGCTACTTTCTGCGCATGAGTACGAAAATAGGAATGCTTCTCATGTTTATGCATCTTATCAGCTAATATGTGTTTGGTTTTTCTGTGAAACCTTTTGCTTTTTCGTCAGTGTTATTGGGTAAAGGGAAAGCAAGGCACAAGCTATACAGTGTTATTAAAACATTTTCCGTTCATAGCTCAGAAGAGGAGGACGTGATTAATAACTGAAATTTCTGTGTGTGTGTGTGTGTGTTGGAGGGGGGGGACAAAATACTTGTTCCGGCTCCGAATATCACTGCCCCCAAAAGCATGGACATAATCACCATATTCAGGTAATTAGTGTGATGATTTTTTTCAGGGATCATGGACGTCGACCTCCCCCCCCCCAGGCCAGCCAGGTAGTTAAAGATATAGTACGAAAATGGTCGGGTTTTATGATATTCGTCAAAATCGTTCATGTTATAAGATGGCGCGCACATACACAGTAATGGTTATACGAAGGACAAGACCGATTCAGTTCTCAGGTTAAGGGTCCCTTTGTTCGCACGTGTATGAGTTTTCCACCGCTTTTTGATGTGAATGTTTTCCCTCATCTGAACACAACTTCCGCTAGAAAAAAGAAGAAAGCTAGTTCTTCAAGGACACAAACATCCTCTTAATAACTTAGTGACGTCACAACGTTTTAAACCAATCATTACCCAATAGAAACTACGCATGGTTATTAGACTCAGGGACGACTTTTCACGTTTTGGTGTATGAAATAGCTGGTGTGCGAGAATAAGGATCGTTTGGTGATGCTTAAGAAGCTTTGACGGTTGTCTCAAACCTTGAGAATAACAGCGGACTTCACAGTTTTAAGTAAGCTGATCAAAGTGCTTCTGAAAAAGTTTGAAATATAATTATTTAACCTCGCTGATTTTTTAAAGGAAAAAAGCCAAAAATGGGGGGTCTTTTGAGTTTCTTTTGGTCTGGAGAAAGTCCAGATATCGACATTCCGGACGAGGGATCAGGTTTAACCCCCAGAGAGAAACAAAACATCCGGAAAACGTGGGCCATCGTACAAAAAAATGTAAAGGAAAATGGTGTTGAACTTTTTATCAGGTCAGTCACTTTTCTTCACTTGTACTTTACCTTGATTTTGCACAGGAACTACAAATAATTTATAAATAGCTCGATTATTATAATAGGTTGGCAAACAACGATCTATAAGCATAAGGAAAGACTTTATTGTTGGTAGAACATACTAGATATTTCGACAGAACATTGGTCTGTCTTCTTCAGGCTGAAATATGTAGTGTGTTCCATCAACAATAAAACTTTTCCTTGTGCTTATAAATGTTGTTTGTCTACATATTTTGATATTAGCGTAATGTGCTCCTAAACACCTCATGAAAAAAAAAAACTTGTTATATTTGACGGGCAGACCTTTAGTTTTAAAAATAATAAAAATAAAAGATTTTAAGACAATGATGTAGCTGTGGAACGGACCAGAAACTATATTTATTTCATATAAACTAAAAGAAGAAACAACTATTTTTCTTGTTGGTTTGTTTCTGGAATTTCGCGTCAGTCTTTCCTAATTTAGCAATTAGTTTTTTAACAACGAAAAGTGGGATTAGTCGTAACATTATAATGCTCTCACGTCTGAAAGTGAGCATGTTCAGTGCTGGGATCCAAACTCGCAACCCGCAAATTGCAATTCTTGACGTGAAGATTGGCCCAATGATGGCTGGTTAGACAGCAACTTGTACAGGATAGATAGGACACCATTAAAGGAAACTTTCTGAAACTTGTTTTAGACTTAGTCTACTTGTTGATAATTGTCAGAGAAAAGCAAATAAAAAAAAACGCATTGTTGCTTGGAATGCTGAACAGGAAACGTTTGTAACTAATAATTGAAACTACTAAGAATCAAGCCAGTTTCCACTAGAACATGAAATTCAGTTGATGAATTTCTCTATCACGAACCACGATAGTGACTCATAATATAGATCACCCAGGAATTTTATAAAAATTCTAATAGAACATAGGTCAAAAACTATCTTATAGCACACTTGTTATATAACATATAATACTCAAAACCTTCTATCTCAACAACTAAGGCTGCTAAAATATTGATAATAGCAAAATAGTTGATTTTTCGATTGTTAGACAAAATTCATCCATTTGTTTTTTTTGAATAAAATATTCAAATCCGTTTTTTTCTGTAGTCTCGTGAAACAACAATAACAATAATAATATGCCTGGGCAAACCTACTAACAAAAATCCTGCACAGGTCATAGGACTATTTTTATGTTCATTCTTGAAAGAGAAGAAGAGATTTTATCATTTTTTTCATCACTATTGGGCAAGTTTCTCTTTTAAGCCAATCAAGTACCGAAGTATATGGCAAAAATGGGTAGGTATATTGCGTCAAAATATATGCACAACTACTAAACGAACTCCTGCGAAGATTGTAGGGCTATTTTAAGTTGATTCTTGAAAGTCGACATTTCCATCCTTTAAAATATCATAAGTTCTTTTTTTCGCTACCAATATAAGTTTTTAGAAGCTATGTAAGCATCGCAGAAATGTAGAAGTTATTTAGGTATGTTATAGTAGTCCGAAACCTTCGTTTCATTAGAGTAAACAATGTGTATATTTATAACAGTGTCTCCAGCTTTATTATTATTGATTATAGTTTTACAAGCCGCTACAGAAAAAAAAACGGCTACGAATACTTTACTGAAATTTGGACAATAGTAATGAATGTAGTGTTGAGTACGTCATAGGGTAGTTTTTCTGTTTTTTTTGCTCTACAGGATTTCTCCAAGTCTTTCACTTTCCGCCATTCAAAAAATCCAGTATTTTACTAATGCGCATCAATCGGAAAATAATTTGTACTAGTTATAGCGCATTAATTGGAAACTGCCACGTTGAGGATCCATCATTTCTCGAGTTTGCTGTTGTACTTTGTCTCTACGAGTGTTTCTGGGGCCCGGCATGGCCAGTTGGTTAGGGCGCTCACTCGCAATCTGAGGGTCGCGGGTTCGAATTTCCGTCACACCAAACATGCTCGCCCTTTCAGCCGTGGGGGCGTTATAAGGTGACGGTCAATCCCACTATTCGAGAAGCCCAAGAGTTGGCGGTGATGATTAGCTGCCTTCCCTCCAGCCTTACACTGCGAAATTAGGGACGGCTAGCGCAGATAGCCCTCGTGTAGCTTTGCGCGAAATTCAAAATAAACAAACGTGTGTTTCTGTGACTGTTTCAGTGAGTTTTCGAACAGTAGACGATTACCAAGGTAAATTTCTCTAATATTGTGAGTGATGATTTATTCTACTGATTTTCGTACTTCGCTGAAAGTATTAGTGCGTGTTTTAGTAGTAGTATTATTCACGTTTTTGTTTCACAAACCTACAGCGAAATCGACTGGGTATCTTGAACCAAGACCTAAACAGGTATACTATTAGAAACGTGCGAATGTTTACGACCTATTTACAAAGTGAAATTTGATTTAAGAAGCTATAAATAAAATGATACATGCGATGTTGTGGACGGTTTCCTTCGTACTCGAAGCTTATTAAACGTGTGTTTATACAAAACCTCAGGGGCACAAAACCACCTGACTCGATAAATCATGATTAGGTGGAAGAAAGCCAATGTAGAAGCAAACTGTTGAAAAACATGCAACTGAATGTAGCTTAAAATGTATTCTTTATAAATTTACATAAAAAAATCAACTTAAGAAACAAGATAATTAAAAATTGTTAATTTAAAAATTAATTGGGGATCGTCAAAAAATATACAGAAACAAGTTGAATCAAAATGCAAAGATTATATTTTCAAGCCTACTAGGAGGGGCTCTATACAACAACAACAACAACAACAAAAAAGTACAAGCTAGACTGGAGAAAGTGTCTAAGCTATTTTCTCAAGCTACACATCCCTATTTAGACGTCCTCCGGTGGGACAGCGAACACTCACACACACCCACTATCTCGACCCCCATGTCTGCAGTACTTATCAGTCTTAGTGGAGTCAAAATAGGGACTTGTAGCTTGAGCAAATAATGTAGACACTATTTCCAGCTTAGTTTGTTTCCTTTTTGTTTTTAAAGAGTCCCTAGTTGTAGGCTTGAAAATATAATCTTTGCTTTTTGATTCAACTTATTTCTGTACTTTTTTGACGATCCCTCTTCTTATGGTATTTAAATTAACAATTTATAATTATCTTGTAATGATGGAAATAGTTGTATTTATTCTGACGTGAGAACGAGAATAAATGTTTTCATTTTTTTTTACTATTTTCATCTGAAGTTTAGTTTTTGCCTGTTTTAGTATTGTACTTAATTGAAAATGTTTTCAACGAATGCGATCTAAAAACACGACCCTCAATAACGTTTAGAAATTGCAGAAGTAAGGCGCTTTTTGTCAGGCACACGGGCGGTGCGCATGCGCTGATTGGTTGCTAGGTGCAGTTGCACACAATGTGCGTGATTTGAGAAAGATACTGGCGCGGCGGTGTTTACTGGCTGTTAGTATGCAAATAGAAACAACTTTTTAAAGAAGTGTATTAGTATGTGTTTTGTTGATATACTTTCTGATTTGTGGAAATAATGCAACTGGCATTTTGTAGGGGGGGTAGATGGGGAGGGGAGCCGCAAAATATTCCTACGTAGTACACTGACTTAGGTTCCAATACAATTACACAGGCCTGCGAATTTAAAATCTGTTACGTCTATATTCGTTTGTTTGTAATTAAGCACAAAGCTACACAATGGGCTATCTGTGCTCTGCCCACCACGGGTATCGAAACCCGGTTTCTAGCGTTGTAAATTCGTTTGTTAATTTCCCGTAGAAATTCTTTCCGAGAAACTTAAGCGGTACAAGTCCTTTTTTAACTAAAACTAGTTTATTATTTCTCGATACATCTTTATAATACACAGAATTTTCACAGTCAATACATTTGCAATCTCGATAACAAAACACATACTTTATATTACCGCTCACTTGGATCAATTATCTGTCTCTATATCTATCTATCTGCAATTATTATCTCCGCTTTATTTGCCGGGCTTATATACTAAAATAGAGGGCGTCTAGAAAAAACTAGTTGCCAGGAAAAGTCATGATCCTTCTAGAAAATCGTCACGTGACTTCCGCTGTCGTAACAACTCCATAAAAGTTGTTTTGGTTTTAATAACGGATTTTCCATAATTCAGCTACACAGACTTCGAAAATAATATTATTTTTTTTTCTAATAAGGATTTTTTACAAATTGGGGAGGGGAAAAAAAAACTTGGATCAAATTATTATTTCGTTTACCATAATGAAATATTTTTATTTTTATGTTTGGTAACAAAAATACAAACAAACTGAAGAAAAGGAAAGAACATTGATGTCAAACGAATATGCATCCTCATTCATCCTGATTTATTTTTGTGAAATCTACGTCTTTTAGTTTGAAAACTACATGTTGTGGTCTTTCTTTTATCTCGTTTCAATGACCAGCAGTAATCAGCCATTATGCTGATATTCCATCTTCCCAGATACCTCCTCTCCATTTCCCTAATGTCTTGATGACTGTCCCGAGATTTTCAGGGAAATAGTCAATATGTGAATGTAAGAAATGAACTTTCAAACGCGTATTACAAACCAACTCTTTGAATTTATCGAGCATGTTATTGACAATATTTTCGTATTTTGAGTCTTTGTTGTTTCCTAAAAATGTGTCAGTAACATCTTTAAAGGCAATCCACGCTTCTTTTTCAATTTTTCTCATTATTCTTTCGAACTGTTCATCCGAAGTCAATTTCCTAATATGAAGCCCAACAAAAATCCCTTCTTTAAGTTTCGCTTCTGATAAAGCTGGGAATTGCCCACATAGATACAACAGTCGCCATATCTGTTTAAAGCCTTTAAAAACTGCTTCATCAAGCCCAGTTTTGTGTGAAGTGGAGGTAATAGGGCTTTCTTTGTGTCAACCAAACTCTCACGTTCAGTGTTTTTTGATCCTGATATCAGGCTCGTTTTTTGCGTGGCCATTACTTCCTTTATCCAGTGCTGATTTCGTGCTCTGCTGTGCCATTCACATAAAAATCATGGAAACTTTGTATAACCAGTTTGTTGACCCAACAACATATAAAGGACTTTTAAGTCACCACAGAGTAGCCAACCATGTTCTTTGTATTTGACCTTATTAAGAAGAAGTGCGATATTTTTGAATGTCTCCTTCAAGTGAACCGAATGAGCAATAGAAGCAGATGCATATGTGTTACCATTGTGAAGGAGAAACCTTTTAGACTTCTTTTGGAGGCATCAATGAACAATCGCCACTCACTTGGTTAAATAGACTACAGCTCCTAGCA